CAGCCGAGATCCCTCATGTGCACAAGATGAGACTGTTCTACCTCAGATCATCAGACACTGGATTCCCATAGGAGTGCAGCCTAGATCCCTCACGTGCACAAGATAAGACTGTTGTACCTCAGATCATCAGGCACTAGATTCTCATAGGACTGTGCCCCCTAGATCCCTCACGTGCACAAGATGAGACTGTTCTACCTCAGATCATCAGGCACTGGATTCTCATAGGAGTGCAGCCTAGATCCCTCACATGCACAAGATAAGACTATTGTACCTCAGATCATCAGGCACTGGATTCTTACAGAACTGTGCAGCCTAGATGTCTCACGTGAACAAGATGAGACTGTTGTACCTGAGGTCATCAGGCACTGGATTGTCATAGGAGTGCACAGCCTAGATCCCTCGCGTGAACAAGATGAGACTGTTCTACCTCAGATCATCAGGCATTGGATTCTCATAGGGCTGTGCAGCCTAGATCCCTCACGTGAACAGTTTACCACAGGGTTTGTCCTCCTGTGAGACTGTAATGCAGAGCTCAGGTAGTCAGGCGCACCACGTGCTGCTGACCTCATGCTGTGCGACCTGGTTGCTAACAGGCCACGGACAGGTGGCCTAGGGGTGGGGGACCCCGACCTGCTCCATCGTATGGCTCCAGTATAATCTAGTGGAACTGCCATCGTACACGTGGCCTATTATGAATGGAAACATCATGATGCGGCGCATGACTGCGTGCCTCACGCCTGATGTGCCTGCTGTCATCTCATCCTCACACCAGCCAGACTAGGAGGGCATTCCTGTCCCTTCACATTGTGGACAAGAGAACTGAGGCACCCCTGTGATAGAACCTGGACCCAGATCTGCCAGGTTCGGAGCCTGTGTCACTCCACGAGGGTGCCCCATCTCAGTTCAGGGTGGACTCGAAGCAAGGTCTGTAGCGTCCGGAGCCTGTGCCCTTGCCACTCCACGAGGGTGCTCCATCTCAGTTTGGGGCAACTTCAGCCGCGCAGTTACTTGGATCATAGAGTGAGTGTTCCGTCACTCCTTTCATCCCTTTGCCCTTGTTCTCACTCTCATCAAACACTCTTGTTGGCTCCGCCTTCTAACTATGCCCCAAATCAGATAGATACTTTTTTCTATCTTACACCACCAACTTAGTCTGGGTGCCCATCAGCCCTTTCCTGGAACACTGTAGCAGCCTCTTAAATTGGTTGTCTTCTGTCATTGTAATCCATTCTTCCACAGCAGTGGAATATTCTTAAAATCCAAATTAGATCACATCACTTCCCTGTTTAAAACCACCAGTGACTATCGAGTTGGAATGAGAAGAAAATGGACCCTTACCATGGCTCACAAAAGGTGATGCGGTTGGGCTCCTGCCACCCCTCTTACCTCATGCTCCCACCTTCCCTTCTGTCCCTCAGACTCACCACTCTCTTTCCAGCGTCCCGCCGGGTCCTCCCATTGAGAAGACTCTTAGTTGGGTTTTGCCTGAGCAGCTCCTTCTTTAGCTCAGCCATCACCTCCTCAGAGGCCTTTTCTGACTCCCCCATATGTAGAAGCACTTTCCACCCTCATCCCCAGCTCATCCTACTCCCTGAGTTTTCCTGTCACCACTGCAGTGCCTCCTCTCTAATCTGCCTTACTTACCTGTGTCCCTGGTGCACCCGAGGGTGCCTGGAACAGAGTAGATGCTCAGAGCATCATCACTGAGTGAGCACAGACACGTGCTGTTCCCTGCACCTAGAGAGATCTGTCCACCCTCCACCTTCCTCCACCCTTCCTCAGATGTTACGGAGTAGATGCTCAGAACATCATTGCTCAGTGAGCACAGACACGTGCTCTTCGCTGCACCTAGAGAGATCTGTCCACCCTACCCTCCTCCTCCCCTCACATGAACTCAGAGGCATCCTTCAGCTCTGGCTCACGTTCTTTCTTTAGGGAAGTCTTCATGGCCCTCTGTTGTGTGTTTCTGTAACAACTACTTTTCCTCCCTGGCTCGTCTCACCTGCTTGTGTGACTTGGATTGAAGGCTGTCTCCTCAGCAGACTATGATCTCCATGAGGCTGAGGCTGCCTGTCTTGCTCACTGCTCTGCTCCTAGGGCCCAGCACAGCCGTTTGTTGAATCGATGAGTGGAGGAATGAATCACTTTTCCTGTACTAACTTGGTCCACACGTGGAATGTGTGTGCCATAAATGAGTGAGCCAGGAGCTCCTTGGGGGTCCACAACTCCCCTCATTTCATCAGAATGTTAATAGAGGTTGGCATGATGGCTCTTGCCTGTAACCCCAGCGTTTTGAGAGGCTGAGACAGATGGATTGCTTCAGGTCAGGAGTTTGAGACCAATCCCGGTAACATGGCCAAACCCATCTCTACAAAAAAAATACAAAAATTAGTTGGGTGTAGTGATGAGCCTGGGAGGTCAAAGCTGCAGTGAGCTGTGCTCACACTGCTGCAGTTCAGGTTGGGCGACAGAGTGGGACTCTGTCTAGAAAAACAAAACAAACAAAAAATCGCCAATAGAGACAGACTGTTGAAGTAGGGAGGAGAGCTTGGGAGGCTTCTGGCCCATGACGCTGAGCGAGCCCTGCGCTCACACGGCCTCTGATGGTGCCCGATATGCTCCGCTTCTTCCTCTGGGTCCGTTTTCTTGATGCCTTGCACCAGAGGGAGTAGAGCCCAGGAACATCCTCAGCCCGCTTCACTGACATCTGATTTCTGCCCTGATTTCCAGTAACACGTTATATTTTAAAATGAGGCCCACCTTACGTAATTGTGAGGTGCTGTTATCAACCCAATAGACTCAGCAATGGATGAGCATTTACCTCAAAAATCCAAATTCTGTGTCTGCCACTGAATGATTTTGAACAAAGCTTTTAACCTCGGTTAGCTGACTTGCTTTTCACATCTACCAAGGACCAGAAGACTTAGAGTCATAGTGACTCAGCTCAACAGCATAATCCCAGAGCCCATTGTTAAGCCAGTGGAGTCAGGAATCTAATGCTATTAACTAATTTATTTTTCTTATGGTTGTTGAAGATTGAGCTTGGTAGATTCTTTTTCTTACTATTCTCTCTAAAATATCAGCAGCCCTTAAGAAGACAACTCAAGCTTAGAAATACTGCTTTCTGAAAAGAGCTGTAAGTTTATAAGGATGTTTTTTCTCTGGTATCAAGTAAAGAAGCCAGAGCTTGGAATGTGCAAATTTGAAATACTTGCTTGGGTGTTAGACCATATTGTTTCTCACCAGGTTACCACAACAGTCATCATTTTACTAATGATTGCCTCGAGCTAATGCAGCCATCACAAGGCTCCGTCATGCACCGAGGCTGTGTCCATCCACATAAATTGTATCCAGGTGTTTTTGCCCACAAACAAATAGTTTAAATGACTATAAGCAGAATTGTCTTAAAACAAAAACCAGAGACAGATGTAGTGTTTTTGTCGAAGGTTTTTAAAATTTATTTACTTAATTTTTTAATTTATCTTTTGAGATGGAATCTTGCTTTGTCACCCAGGCTGGAGTGCAGTGGTACCATCTCCACTCACTGCAACCTCCACCTCCCAAATTCAAGTGATTCTCCTGTCTCAGCCTCCTGAGTAGCAAGGATTGCAGGCACCCACCACTATGCTGCTAGTTTTGGTATTTTTAGTAGAGACGGGGTTTCACCATATTGGCCAGGCTGGTCTCAAACTCCTGACCTCAAGTGATCTGCCTGCCTTGGCCTCCTAAAAAGTGCTGGGATTACAGGCATGAGCCACCATGGCCAGCCTTTGTATAAGTTTTGTTTTTGTTTTTTTGTTTGTAATGTCTTTAGATGATGTCCTGGCACTTGGCAAAGTCATTCACACTATAGTCCATCTGCTGTCCCTTTTGGCTTAGAGATTAATTCAGGTCGACCCACTGGTATTGGCTAAAATATCAAGTACATTTCGAAACTCCCTCTCCACTTAACTTCTTGTCTCTGGAGAGCCATGCCTTGCCCCATTCCCTCATCCTCAGCACCAAGAATTCCTCTTTTCTGTTTGTGCAGTTGGCCTCTTTTCTGCCAAAGCCTCCAGCTCCCAGGCATAAACAACATCTCTAGGTGAAAATGGTAAAGAAATTCCAGAGGGCTGCTTTGATTCTGTAGTTGTACTGGAGTTAACATCATCAGTGACCCTTGTGTGTATCATGTGCTGCTTCTAGGGTTTCACATTTGAGCCTTCAGATAGTCCTGTGACTACTCCCTCATTCAGCAGATGAAGTCACTGTGGCTCAGAGAAGCTGGGTGATATGGCCACTGCAGCACAGTCGGAGCTACCCCAAGGCCACAGCCACGGCCACGTCTCCTCCTCCAGCTGTCCCATGAGCCCTAGTTCCACTCAGGGCCGTGTTTTCAAATAGTCATATTTGGAAGCTGAAAAGTAAATTTTCTCTAGGAGTTGTGGTTGTTGTAATGGGGCTTACTTGGGAAGAGTCGTCTGTTAATCTAGAACGCCTGAGATTAGCTTTGTAGTTTGTTCTTGCATTCAAATCCATCTGGCACTTTGATTCATTTCTATTTATTGAGGACCTGCTACATGCTAGGCACCAAGATAGGATGGGGAACAAGATAGACATAATCTCTGCCATCATGGAGGCAGAAAGAAACAGACAAATGGGCAATTGCAGTATTTTAATAAATGCTGGGGCAGGGGACATGTAGCACGGTTTGGGAACACGTCAGGGACATCTAACTCAAATGTGACAATGGGAAAGGCTCCCCAGCAGAAGCGGCTTCTAATGTGAAGACTGAAGGATGCGTAAGATTAGAGTTGGGGCAGGGTGGTGAAGGAGGTTTCAGGAGGACGGAAGGGCAGTGTGAAGGCCTGGGGGTAAGCATGTGGTCTGTGTTGCCTCAGTTCTTTACCGGATCAGAGTTCATGACTTAGCTGTTGGAGACACCTGGAAAAAGTGGATCAATAGTGAAGGCTGTTGAATATGCTCAGAAAATACTTCTCTTTCTTATATCAACCTAACAGAAAAAGCTTGAGTCTCCACCCACTTCTACCAATCCCTTCCTGGAAGATGAGCCAACACCAGAGATGGAGGAACTGGCAACGGAGAGGGGAGATTTAGATCAAGTAAGTCTGGTTTGCGTCACCATGGGTAACCTACCTGATGTGTGCTTTTGAAAATGGGTCTGCTTGCTCCAGATATGATCCTTTGGCTCCTGGCCACATTCAGAGATGACAACTCTGGTGGTCTTTATCTGGTGTTCTTTATAGAAGACCCTTATCTGAAAGTGCATTTAGGAAACTCCGTGAAAGGGCAGACTTTCCTGCCCCACAGCTCTGTTCCTGAAGAACCCGCTGCCAGGACACACACAAGCTTCATGAGCCACTGCGGTGGGGCCGGAAGAGTTCTGCTCTGCCTCATTCAGCGTCTCCTGAGCTTGTGAGCTTTGTTTTGTTTTACTGTTGTCTGGTATGGTGATGATGTGAGAGTCTGAGCGATTCCCGGGAAGCTAGCAGCACCATCGGCTGGGAGAGGCTTCCATGCAGTATAAGCCGATCACTTTAGGGTTGGAAATACAAGGTGACCAGTGGCATATTTGGAGAGCTACTTTTCAGAGCACACTAGCACTTTCATTTCCTTTGGATGTTTCTGTCCAAGTCTAAATTTCCTCTCCCTTCATCCTACAGAATGCTGTTTTTGTTTCACTGCCATTTTATGACAGGGAGGTTAGAGCAATAAATCAGAACTTTTCCTTTCTGGATTAGTGATCCCTCTTTTTAATTTTCTACACTTGGCTGCTGGAGGATTATTTTATGGTATTGTTTTGCTCCAGACACCACCAAAAGGGAGGCTGGCTGGGAGGACCAGCACTGGGAAACCTGTACCCATACACTTAGCAGCTCACCCTGCATTCATTCCCAGCATGGTGAGGTCAGGAGCCAGGAGAGCAGAACTCCAGGAGCAGCTCTGAAATGATGCAGTACAGTGTCTGGTCCATCGATTGAATGATTGCAATGAAAGGAATACCTCATGCTTTTATAGTGCTTTACAGTTTTAAATTCTATTACATGCCTTATTTCATCTTCACAATTCTTGCCTCTCACTTTATAGGTGATGAAACTTCAGCTCAGAGAGGTTAAGTGATTGACCCAGGGTTGAATAGTTTGGAAGTGGAGGAGCTTAAACTGGAAGCCAGGTCTCAGTGTCAGAAACTCGAATTCCTTTCCCAGTGCTCTTTTGTTTATGACTCATGTCTCATTCAGGAGTGGAGGATATAGAATTGAATCTCAGGAATAGAAGTAAATGAACAAAACTGATGGGACATCTTAAGGAGGCTTTCTCCCAGAGATGTGTATTAGAAGTAGGTGCAGTTGATTTAAAGCTATCACAGTATTGACTGGCATGGGAGAAAACAGACATTTCCTCTAACTAATTAAATGCAGTTCTCACATTTCTGGAAGCAGGGACTAGGGTGGGAAGAAGGCTGTGGGTGTAGAGCTTATTCTTCTGCCATGTCCTCCTCCGACACGGCCAGCTGCTGCTGTGAGCATTGTTTGTGCAGGAGAGCCGTTTGCAGAGCCCTGATGTCTCACCAGTGCTAGCAGCTGCCATGGTTGTGTCCAAAATGGTGCAGTTAAATGCTCAGATAGTTGTATTGTTGCCAGGAAGAGTTATTCCTTTTGCTAGTCATCTCTGGATGTTATTAAATTGGATTAAGATAGAGAGGCCCCATTTCTTACAAAATCAGTTTTGCCAGGTGAAGTATGATTTTCCTTTTTCTTGTAACTTTTTCCTCATATGGAAGCTTGACGTTACTGTTGTAAGGACCAAGACCTGCTTATTCTGAGAACACAGAAGCCTGACATCTGACAGATACATGGGGCAAAGCAGAGCCATGTGCTGGGAAAATGCCAGACTCTGGTCGGCTGTTAACTGACCGACCATGTGACTTCAGGCTGGTTATTTTCTCTCTTTAGACTTCCCTAGTTTATCTTTAGTAAGAGCTCATGGTTTTCAAACTGTATTCCTTGGTGCCCATCAGGATGTCGCTGTGAAGCTAGGAGGAGACCAGGGACCTAGGTCCCTGAGATCAGAGCAGTTTTATTTTGAGTCGTTTTGTATTGTGGGCTTTCAGATAAAATTTCTTTTCAACCAGGGATTTTATGTCATTTAAAAAAAAAAAAAATGGCCTGGCCTGGTGGCTCATGCCCATAATCCCAGTACTTTAGGAGTCCGACGTGGGCAAATCACTTGAGATCAGGAGTTCGCGACCAACCTGGCCAATGTGGTGAAACCCCATCTCTACTAAAAATACAAAATTAAGCGGGTGTGGTGGCGTATGCTTGTAATCCCAGCTACTCAGGAGGCTAAGGCAGGAGAATCACTTGAATCTGGGAGGCAGAGGTTGCAGTGAGCCAAGATTGCGCCACTGCACTCCAGCCTGGGAGACAGAGTGAGGCTTCATCTCAAAAAAAAAAAAAAAAAAACAACTAAACCCCTGATCTAGCTGATCCACCCACCATTTCATGGGCTATTACTCATTAGTAATAAAACTTACACACCAGTGACTAATGCCTCCACCCATGCCATCCCTGACCTCCTGCTGCCTCACCGGCCTGGCCTTGCTTATGGTTGAGGTAGGCGCCCAGGGTCTCCCTCTTCTCGGAGTGGGGTGGACAACAAGAGCAAGAGCTCTGTGGAGTCAGGGAGGGACCCACCAGGTGTTAGTGGCGAAATCAGCCAGAGGTGGTTAGAGGGAAGGTCCCTACCGGTTCGTGGGTGACCTGACCCATTACATTGCTGCAGTCAGTAGCATTTGGCCCTCAAGGTAAGGGTCACTCCCTGCTTACCACTGCAGTTTACGCCTGGCTGCTGAGAAGAGAGAGTGAACTTGAAAAAAGCTATTTAGTTTACAAAGGCCCTGAGTAATCAGTTGCCAGGATATTCCCGGTGATAAAAAATGACATCTGAAAGGGGACTGAGGGGTACCGAAAGTATAAAAGAAAGGAGAAGAAATAACAAATTTCTGGTTTTAAAATGTACCCTTCTGGTGATCCGCACAGTTAGATTTAATCTGTTTACATTGGGTAGCAATAAAAGGAAATGGGAGCAGCTGCAGACCTCCTCACTGTGACAACAGTAACCTTTTATTATTCCATCAAACTCCAGGAGGAAATAGCTTAAACATCTGCAGCTTTTGGACAGAATTCACACACTCAGAAACGCAGCCTCAACCTACTGCTAAACGACTTAGCGTCATGTTGAAGCTGAGAATTAACCCTCTGGGGAGCTGCCTGGTGCAAAGGGAGATGCCAGTTGGAGCCAAAATTCCAGCACCTCCTATCTAAACTGAGCACATTCACAATGCAGCCATGGGCAGGAGACAGCCCTGCAGGAAAAAAGTAAGAAGAAAGGAAGCTTGAGGCAGTCCTTCCCATTATTCATCTCTTGCTTCAGCTCGCACTAAAAATGCTGCAAGAGGATCTGGGTGCTGTGGTCGCAGGGCCAGGGGTCCCTCCTCGCTGCAGAAGAGTGCTGTTAGTGGGCAGGGCAGGGCAGGGCCACGTCATCTGCAGGTAGGGGTGCAGCCCTGGCACTGCCTGGTCATGCAGCCTGAGTGTCCTGTGGGGCCTTATCACGGCAGGACCTGTGGCAGACAGATAAGATGAGTGCCGTGGAGTTATATAGCTGTTTTCTTTTCTCACTTAGAATCTGTATTTTATACTTACCAAATGAGCTCTTGAGACTCATTCCAAATAGTTTCTTTCAAATCATACATCACTTCTGTGCATATATAAAAGGAGAGTATAAGGAAAATAAATAGATTAAGATATTTCTAAAACTTCTTCACATGCAGGGCCCACATCTTCTGAACCACTTTTTTTAAAAACTTTATATTTGGAATAATTATGGGCTCATAAATTATAAACCTAGTACAGTGAGGTACCATGTACCAGTCTCCCAGCTTTCTCCAGAGGGACAGCTAAAATACGATAATGCATCATCAAAACCAGGAAATCAATCAATCCAGACCCCTTCCCGTCTCCCAGCTTCCTCCAGGGAGGCAGTTAACGTACTATAGTGCATCACCAAACCAGGAAGTTGATCCAACCCCTTCCATCTCTCAGCTTCCTCGAGGGAGACAGTTAACATACTATAGTGCATCACCAAACCAGGAAGTGAATCCAACCCCTTCCATCTCCCAGCTTCCTCCAGGGGGACAGTTAACACACGATAGTGCATCATCAAACCAGGAAGTGAATCCAACCCCTTCCATCTCCCAGCTTCTTCCAGGGGATAGTTAACATACCATAGTGCATCATCAAACCAGGAAGTGAATCCAACCCCTTCCATCTCCCAGCTTCCTCCAGGGTACAGTTAACGTACTATAGTGCATCACCAAACCAGGAAGTGAATCCAACCCCTTCCATCTCCCAGCTTCCTCCAGGGGACAGTTAACATACCATAGTGTATCATCAAACCAGGAAGTAGATCCAACCCCTTCCATCTCTCAGCTCCCTCCAGGGAGACAGTTAACGTACTATAGTGCATCACCAAACCAGAAAGTGGATCCAACCCCTTCCATCTCCCAGCTTCCTCAAGGGGACAGTTAATGTACTATAGTGTATCATCAAACCAGGAAGTGGATCCAACCCCTTCCATCTCCCAGCTTCCTCCAGGGGACGTTAACATAACCATAGTGCATCATCAAATCAGGAAGTGGATCCAACCCCTTCCATCTCCCAGCTTCCTCCAGGGAGACAGTTAACATACTATAGTGCATCACCAAACCAGGAAGTGGATCCAACCCCTTCAATCTCTCAGCTTCCTCCAGGGGGACAGTTAACATACCATAGTGCATCATCAAACCAGGAAGTGGATCCAACCCTTCCATCTCTCAGCTTCCTCCAGGGGGAAAGTTAACGTACTATAGTGCATCATCAAACCAGGAAGTGGATCCAGACCCCTTCCCATCTCCCAGCTTCCTCCAGGGGACAGTTAATAATGTCAAATGAAGAGAAAAGTTACAAGGAACTCATAAGTATTTTTCTTCTGGATTCAGCAATTGTTAACATTTTCCTATGTAACTATGATTTCCTCCCTACTCCCCCCACCTTTAGAACAATTTGTAAGTTCACTCTTGTAGATCAAAATCAGAAAATTTTACATCAGTACAGTAATATATCAACTTTTTATGTCTATATACTTATCTATAGGCATTTTAATATAGATTAGATAGACTTATATAGATTATTAGATAGACTTAACATAGATTAGATGGACTTAGAGATTAGATAATCTATAGACATTTTAAGTCATTTTTCATAATGTAGCCATTTCAAAGTGATAAAATATTGTCCGTAGTTGGGAAAGTACGCATAAATTAGTAAGTGTAAAAATACAAAATATATCCTGTTCAAAATAAAAAAAAAGAAAAAACAAAAGCAGAAAATATACAGATTGATTTTTTTAAATGACAGCATTCTGTATTATGTAAATTTCCATGTGTAATTACCAGAAGTTATCCTGCAGAATGTGAATTTTCTTCAAAAGAAGAAAAAAATTAAAAAATAACTATAATACCTATAATTATTATTTAATTAATAAAAAGATACCTGGTTGTAGTAGCCATGTTTTCCAAATCTAAAACCATAATATCTAGTCTTACGGAGTCAGACAAATTAAATCACATTTTTCTATTCACTTAAATAATCATTTGAAATCAGTAATAAAAAATAGATACTGACTTGGAAATAAAAGGACAAATGGATGAGGACCACCCCTCACAGTCCTCATTCTCCATCATAGAGCCTTTATCTAAAACTAATTGAAGTGCAGAAAAACTCCCAGGACATCTGCACTAGCATGGAATTCTAGATCCAGCAGATTCGAGCCCAGTCAACCAGTCTTGCCTGGCCCCTGAGGCCCTGTGGGGGTCTTACTCTGAGGCCTGACTGTGGCAGTGACTTCCAGATGATAAGAGTAAACAGTGGAGATGGTATTTATTCTTAGGAAGGACCAGAGTTTCTAGAAACCTTGCAAAAAATTAAAGACGTTGAACTCTTGGTGCAAAGGGAGGAGGGCTAAGTACTAGATTGAGTGAGTGTGTCTAAAGTTGACATTTAATTTTTGGTGATCATTTTTTTACAGATCAGTTTTTACAGTTGTTTTTAGCTATTACAGTGTGTTATTTTAAAAAACAGAAATAGGTAATTACCATTTTTGCCTGTCATTGGGGCTTAGCTCTTCCAGTATGTATTAAAATATATAAGCAGTTCAAGAGGGTAGATCTTATGTCAAGTATTTTTACCACAAGTAATTATAATAACAACTAGGCCGGGCGCGGTGGCTCACGCCTGTAATCCCAGCACTTTGGGAGGCCGAGGCAGATGGATCACTGAGGTCAAGCAATCGAGACCATCCTGGTCAACATGGTGAAACCCTGTCTCTACTAAAAATACAAAAAATTAGCTGGGCATGGTGGCGCGTGCCTGTAATCCCAGCTACTCAGGAGGCTGAGGCAGGAGAATTGCCTGAACCCAGGAGGCGGAGGTTGCAGTGAACCGAGACCGCACCATTGCACTCCAGCCTGGGTAACAAGAGCAAAACTCCATCTCAAAAATAATAATAATAATAATAATAATAATAACAACAACAACAACAACAATAACAACAACAACTAAAGGGGTGGGAGGGAGCTTGGGGAGGTGGTAGATACACAGGGCCTTGGTGGTGGTGAGGGGTTCATGGGTGTTTACTTATTCTCAAACTCGTTAGGATACATACTTTAAATATGTTGGCCTTTTAAAATGTCAGTCATACCTCAGTAAAGTGGGGTTAAAAAAATAAGATCTGAGTAGTTCAATTTAACCAGTATGTTGTGGGTGCAGTTTACATACACACTATATTCTAGTACCAGCCCCAGCAAGGTGTGTTTGCCTCAGGGTCATTTTGTGCTCATTTGGCAATAGACAGAATTTATATTTTTTTAGGAATAGAAAGTAACATGTAGGAAAATCTTCGCTTAATTTTTAATTTGGAAAGGAATTAAGTAGCAAATATAGTTTTAAAATACTTGGCTGTCATATGACTTCTTTATCAGTGGCTTCCAAGTAACAGTCTGGGAACCAGTGCTGGTCTAGTGTTATAGTGGCCTAAAGCAAAAAAAAAAATAGTATAGTCTGTCTGCCTGCTTCCTCCCTCTGTGTGTGTCTCTCTCTCTTTCTCTCTCCACCCCCCTTTCTGTCCTTTCTCAAAAAGTACTGCCTATATGCTGCTATTTTATTCTTATAAGATTTGGGGCATAAAATACTTTTTTTCTGGCTGCACCTGATGCCTCATGCCTGTAATCCCAGCACTTTGGGAGGCCAAGGCAGGTGGATCACTTGAGGCCAGGAGTTCGAGACCAGCCGGGCCAACATGGCAAAACCCATCTCTACTTAAAAGACCAAAGTTAGCTGGCTGCAGTGGCATGTACCTGTAATCCCAACTACTTAGGAGGCTGAGACACAAGAATCACTTAAGTCCAGGAGGCACAGGTTGCAGTGAGCTGAGATGGCGCCCCTGGACTTTAGCCTGTGCGACAGAGGGAGACTCTGTCTCAAAAAAAACAAGCCTGTATATTTTTTAGGAACTTGTGGTAAGAATAGAAAGTAGCGAAATAAATGTAATAACCCTCTATTGGTTCTCCACCCTTCTTTTTGTTACGTTTTCTTACTGATGAAATTCAAAACCTTCTGGGAACCATTGCAGGAAAATAATGATACCATAGAAAGAGTTGTAGAGTAAGAAAAGCAGACTTCTACATGTGTCTTGGGGCAAGTTAGAGAGCCTCTGAGTCCTCATTTCTTGTGGTATAAGTAGTAGGGATACCTACATGAAGGGTTATTGTGAGGAACAGGTGATGTATTCGTTGGTATCAAAGTGGTTGGCCTATAGTAACAATCAGTAAATGGAGGCTGTCAAAAATGGGATTGTGTGAAAGCACTTTATAAATTCTAAAGTAGTGTACAGGTACAAGGTGCTGCTATTAGCCAGGATGTAAATTCTGGAAAACACCAGTCAGATAGATGATGACTAGCTTCCAGATTCAAAACGCGTATGTTATCAGAGTAACATTAAATCTTCCACCGTCTACAGCAAGCCAGTGATGCTAACAGAGCTGCCGTTTGTTCACCTACTGGGGTGAATCGTGAAGCCGACTTTTTCCCACTTTAATTACGTCAAGTACTCTCATATTGTGAACTTTGAAAAGATGTTTTTTAAAAAAATTCTTAAACATTTGCAAAGACCACTCAAGTATAGGGTTTATTTTTCTTTGTTCTTATAGCCAAAGAAGCCCAAAGCCCCGGACAATCCATTTCATGGCATCGTCTCCAAGTGCTTCGAGCCTCATCTCTACGTGTACATCGAATCCCAGGACAAGTAAGTGAGGGGCATGTGCTGTTTTCTGCCTGCATTTCTCGAGCCCAGGTCCTGACTGGGTCTTCGAAGCGCACAGCTCCTTCCAGAGGCTGAAGGAGGGACGTGGCATGCCTGTGACCCTCCCCAGAAACTCATTTGGGATATTTTTACATCTTTTGAAGGTTATCATGAATTATGTCTATAAACCTCAGGACCTGAGTTTGCCCCTGATAAGGTCCCTATGGGTCCCAACACCCTCTTCCCACGTGGGTGTGGAGGCCTGACATACATCAGCCTACAAAGCTTTACAGTGTCAGGCACCGGGTATTGGAAGAAAGCCTAATCCCTCATGTTTATGTTTTCAAATATAATTTAGCCTTAGAAAAAGTTACCAAAATAGGACAAAAAATTCTCACGTGCCCTCTGCAGAGAATGTTAACATCTTACATAACAACCACAGGTATCCAAATCAGGAAGGTAACACTGTCCCATTGAGGTCCCTTTTTATGGTCCAGGACCCCGTAATCATGTATTTGTTGTCAGATCTCTTTGGTCTTATCTTGTTTAATCTTGAGTAGTTCCTCATCTTTTCTTTTTTTCTTTTCTTTCTTTTTCTCTTCTCTTCTTTTCTTTTCTTTTTTTCTTCCATTTCCTTTTTCTTCTCTTCTTTTCTCTTCTTTTTTCTTTTTGAGACAGGGTCTCACTCTGTCCCCAAGGCTGGAGTGCAGTGGTCAGTAGTGAGATCACAACTTATTGCATCCTCTATCTTCTAGACTCAAGCAGTCCTGCCACCTGTCTCCCAGGTAGCTGGGACTACAGGTGCACACTGCCACACCTGGTTAATATTTCTATTTTTAGTAGAGTTGAGGTCTCGCTGTGTTGGCCAGGATGGTCTCAGATGATCCACCCACCTCAGCCTCCCAAAGTGCTGGGATTACAGGCATGAGCCACCCTGCCTGGCCATTCCTCACCTTTTCTTTGTCTTTCATGACCTCAGTGCATACTGGCCAGGTATTTTGTACAGTGTCCTCAGTTTTCGTTTTTTTCTTGATTAAATCCATTTTGGTCAAGAATACCATGAAAGTGGCCTTGTATCCTCAGTGCATTGTGTCAGGAGGCACATCACATTGATTTGTCCCATTGTTGCTTTATTACTTGCTTTAGGTGGTATCTGCCAACTTTGTTCACTGTGAAGTTACAATTTTTCTCCTGGTAATTAGTAAGTATGTTATGGGATGGTACTGTCTGCATATCCTGCTCTCATCAAACTTTTGCCCACTCATTCACATCCCTTGATGATTCATTCCGGCCTGAAGCATCGTTTCTGTGACATTTGCCAAATGTTGATTGTCTGTTTTCATCATTTCTTCTACACTTACTAATTGGAGTTCTACTGTATGGAAAAATTTTTCCTCTTCCCCATTTGTTTATTATATCAGTATGAACTCGTGGATTCTGATTTTATTTTATGGATCAGCTATATAGTATTATATATTATCTATACCATATTGCTTTTCACGTGGCTGGGTGCGGTGGGCCACACCTGTAATCCCAGCACTTTGGGAGGCCAAGGTAGGAGGAGCTTTTGAGCCCAGGATTTGGAGACCGGCCTGGGAAGCATAGTGAAACCCCATCTCTATAAATAACTTTTTAAATTAGCCAGGTGTGGTGGTGCATACCTGTAGTCCCAGCTACTTGAGAGGCTGAGGTGGAAAAAGCACTGGAGCCCAGGAGGAGGAGGCTGCAATGAGCCATTACTGCGCCACTGCACTCCAGCCTGGGGGACAGAGGCCTTGTCTCAAAATAAATAAATAATTAGCAAACTATAGTGTATGCTTTTTTTTTTTTTTTTTTTGAGACGGAGTTTCACTCTTGTTACCCAGGCTGGAGTGCAATGGCGCGATCTCGGCTCACCACAACCTCTGCCTCCTGGGTTCAGGCAATTCTCCTGCCTCAGCCTCCTGAGTAGCTGGGATTACAGGCATGCACCACCATGCCCAGCTAATTTTTTGTATTTTTAAGTAGAGACGGGGTTTCACCATGTTGACCAGGATGGTCTCGATCTCTCGACCTCGTGATCCACCCGCCTCGGCCTCCCAAAGTGCTGGGATTACAAGCTTGAGCCACCGCGCCCGGCCTAGTGTATGCTTTCTACAAGCTTGTAGCCTGCAAAGATTTTCGTGAAGCATCTCGCCGCAGCCAGGTTTCTTCCCTCCCACCCTCTTTTTAAAAAAATCCTAAAGACTCCAGACTAACAGCCGAAGAGTGTTTGCATTCCAGTGTCTGTTGTTTGCGTGAGGGGCCTTCGCCAAGGAGGAAGACTCCTCCTTATCCCTGAGTCTTTGTCCACAACCAGAGTCACTCTTGAAGCCCTTCCATGTTGGAAGGCACGTTTTGGAAAGGTCAGAATTCTAGAGCAGGCCAAGATGGCTGGAGACAGACTGGCATGGGCTCCCAGAGGAAGCCTTGTAGTCTAAAGAATGCACTTGGGAGGGACCAGAAGGTGGCTCACACAGGGAGCACCGCAGAGCTGTGGGAACGTCCTGAGGGAATTTCTCTGGGAATGCATTTGGGTCCTGACTGTATTCCCCCCAACCTTTACAGTGCTTCTATCATGGGTTAGCAGATTCTTATTTTCAAACATGTTTCAGGGATAACCCATAAGATTAAGAGAATGTTTCAGGTAGAAACACCACATGGAACAATATGATTCACCTGCTTGATTGTATATACTGCTTCTGTGCTTTTCATGCCCAATTACAAAGTGCTTCATATTAAAATCTCAGAAAATGAATTTGCCCAGCAGCTTCTCCATCATCAGATGCAGGTCTCCCCACCAGCCCCCCAGAAAAAGTTGCCTTGCCATCGTTTGCCTTGCAAAGGCCCAGTGGCACCTCGCTCTCCACCCAGTGGGCCCGTGTCCAGCAGGCACATGGAGGGACAGAGGTGACTGCTGCTGCTGCTCTGTCCCTGAGAGCACCCTGCCCTCTGCACTCACGAAGTTTCCCTCCAGGAAGTTACTGAGACACCCCTGAGGAGCAGGAGCAAGGATTGATTATTTGCCTGTTGGAGTCACAGAGCTTCAAGCAACACCCCCAGATGACTGTTTTCAACCAAAGTCCCATTTCTCTTAACCCAAGTTTTTAGTTTTAAAAGGCTTCAAAGGCCAGGCACATTGGCTCACGCCCGTAATCCCAGCACTTTGGGATTACAAGCTGAGGCAGACAGATTATGAGGTCAAGAAGTCGAGACCATCTTGGCTGACAGGGTGAAACCCCGTCTCTACTAAAAACACAAAAAATTAGCTGGGTGTGGTGGGGCACGCCCACAGTCCCAGCGACTTGGGAGGCTGAGGCAGGAGAATTACTTGAACCTGGGAGGCGGAGGTTGCAGTGAGCTGAGGTCGCACCATTGCACTCCAGACTGGGTGACAGAGAGAGACTGTCTCAAAAGGGAAAAAAAAAGGCTTAAAAGTTACTGGGTCCAGGGTTTATTTATTTATTTTTGAGACAGAGTCTCACTGTGTCACCCAGGATAGAGTACAGAGAAGCATGATCAGGACTCATTGTAGCCTCAACCTCCCAGGTTTCAGCAATCCTTCCACCTCAGCCTCTCAAGTAGCTGGGGCTACAGGCACACATTACCACACCTGGCTAACTTCTGTATTTTTTGTAGAAATGCAGTTTCACCGTGTTACCCAGGCTGGTCTCGAACTCCTGGGCTCAAGCAGTCTGCCCACCTCCACCTCCCAATGTGCTAGGATTACAGGCGTGAGCTACCACGTCCAGTCAAGGTCCAGGGTTTAAAGCACGTGTCTGAGATAGCCACATCCTTTCCCAAAACCTACCTGGTCTAAAGGGTCGTTTTTCTGAATCATTGTAATTCTGGCTTCCACTCTTCACATGGCCTGGATTTATATAAAATATACTCATTGTTCAGGATGCTTTTGGCAAAGAACCAGACCTCCCTTCCTTGGGGACTCTCCATTTTCCTATGAAAAATGAAGTGCTGGCCACTTCTGCTGTTTGGCCTCACTGGGATGTTTCCGCAGCTATAGGGAAGTAGCAGGAACTGCACAGGCTGTGCTACTGCTGCTCCAGAATAAACAGCAAGGACTGGAAGTAGAAAATAGAGTTTAAAGAACTCCATGGGGGAGGAAGCAGGAGGTGGGGTGGTCACTAGCAGGTTTTGGGGGGAGGAGGCAGAAGGTGGGGTGGTCACTAGCAGGTTTTGGGGGGAGGAGGCAGGCGGTGAGGTGGTCACTAGCAGGTTTTGAGGGGAAGAGCAGGCGGTGGGGTGGTCACTAGCAGGTTTTGAGGGGAGGAGGCAGGCGGTGAGGTGGTCACTAGCAGGTTTTGAGGGGAGGAGGCAGGCGGTGAGGTGGTCACTAGCAGGTTTTGAAGGGAAGAGCAGGCGGTGGGGTGGTCACTAGCAGATTTTGGGGGGAGGAGGCAGGTGGTGGGGTGGTCACTAGCAGGTTTTGAGGCCAGGAGGCAGGCAGTGGGGTGGTCACTAGCAGGTTGGAGGGAGGCAGGAGCAGGTTGGGTAAAACTGTCCTTACGTGCTCGAAATGGCTTTCTCTTATTATTTATGTGCAAAGAGGAGGTTAGTCTGTCCTCTACTCTCGGGGCGTAGTGATTTCCTTCAGCTGATGCTTGCAAAAGAGATGACTGCATAGGCACTTTCTGCACTCCACTCTGTGGCCCTCCAACAGGGAAGCTACTGGTGACTCCCTATCTGCCCATTCTCCTAAGTTCCCTCTGATAACTTTTGTTAGAATAGAACCTGTACTTTTCTAGAGCCTAGCATCTGTCTGTAAACGAGTTATCATTGTTTATTTTGAATTCATTTCAAGCTTACAGAAGAATTATAAGAATTATACATAGAGCACTTGTATAGCCTTGATCCAGATTCCTCATTAATGATTATCTCCCGACACCCACATAATGCACAAACCCTACATCCTTTTTTCTTTTCTTTTTTCTTCCTTTTCCTTCCCTCTCCTTTTCCTTCCCTCTCCTTTTCCTTCCCTCTCCTTTTCCTTCCCTCTCCTTTTCCTTCCCTCTCCTTTTCCTTCCCTCTCCTTTTCCTTCCCTCTCCTTTTCCTTCCCTCTCCTTTTCCTTCCCCTTTCCTTCCCCTTCCCTTCCCATTCCCTTCCCTTCCTGTCCCATTACCTTCCCTTCCTTTCCCTTTCTTTCCCCTTCCCCTTCCCTTCTCCTTCCCTTCCCCTTCCCTTCCCATTCCCTTCCCCTTCCCGTCCATTCCCTTCCCTTCCTTTCCCTCTCCTTTCCCTCTCCTTTCCCATTCCCCTTCCCTTCCCCTTCCCTTCCCCTTCTCATCCCTTTCCCTCTCCTTTCCCTTCCCCTTCCCTTCCCATTCCCTTCCCTTCCTTTCCCTCTCCTTTCCCTTCCCCTCCCTACTTCCCCTCCCCTCCCCTTCCCTCCCTTGCCCTCCCTTCCCCTCCCTCCCTCCCCTCCCCTTTCCCTTCCTTTTCCCTTCCCTTCTTCCCCTTCTTTTCCCCTCCCCTTCCCCTCCCCCTCCCCTTCCCCTCCTCTTCCCCTTCCTGCTTCCTTCCCTTCCCCTTCCCCTTCCCTTTCCCTCTCTATTCTCTGTTTTCCCTTCACTCCCTCCTTTCCCCCTGCCCCCCCAACCTTACCGTTTCCCCTTCCCCTTCCCCTCCCCTTTTCTTCTGGACAGGGGTCTCACTGTGTTGCCCAGGCTGGAGTGCAATGGCATGATCTCAGCTCACTTTAGCCTCCACCTCCTGGCCTCAGGTGATCCTCCTACTTCAGTCTCTAGAGTTACTGAGACTACAGGTGCATGTTACCACGTCTGGCTAATTTTTGTTCTTTGTAGAGACAGGGTCTTACCATGTTGCTTGGGCTGGTCTCACCTCCTGGGCTCAAGCAGCCTCCCAAAGTGTAGGGATTACAGACGCGAACCACTGCACCCAACCTGTACTTTTTCCTGAACCTTTGAATTCTCAAGTTGCAGGCAAGATGCCCCACTACTCCTTAATACTTCAATACATACTTCTTAGAAACAATGTTTCTACATAAGGTTGCTACAACTATCAATGTCAGGAAATGAACCTTGATACAGTATTACTGGTTCATCCATGGCCTCCTCCTCATCACATAACCACAGTGCAATTGTCAGCATCCGGAAATCCACACTCACACAGTATTACTGCTTCATCCACGGCCTCCTCCTCATCACGTAACCACGGTACAACTGTCAGCATCTGGAAATCCACACTGATACAGTGTTACTGCTTCATCCACCGTCTCCTCATCATGTAATCATGGTACAACTGTCAGCATCCGAAAATTCACACTCACACAGTATTACTGCTTCATCCACGGCCTCCTTCTCATCACGTAACCACAGTACAACTGTCAGCATCCGGAAATCCACACTGATACAGTGTTACTGCTTCATCCATGGTCTCCTGACATTTTACCAGTTGTCCCAATCTTGTTTGTTTGTTTGAATAGCTCTGGGATCACAGGTTGCATTTTGTTGTCATGTCTCTTTGGTCTCCTTCAACCCAGAAGGCTAATTCAGTCTTTCTTTGTCTTTCATGACCTTGACATTTTTATTTTTATTTTTTATTTTATTTATTTATTTATTTTAAAAAATACATTTATTCCCCCCCTTTTTTTAAATTGCATTTTAGGTTTTGGGGTACATGTGAAGAACATGCAAGATTGTTGCATAGGTACACACATGGCGGTGTGATTTGCTACCTTCCTCCCCTTCACCTATATCTGGCATTTCTCCCCTTGCTATCTCTTCCCCACCTCCCCACCCCCTGTCTCTCCCCCATTTCCCCCCAACAGACCCCAGTGTGTGATGCTCCCTTCCCCATGTCCATGTGTTCTCATTGTTCAACACCCGCCTATGAGTGAGAACATGTGGTGTTTGATTTTCTGCTCTTGTGTCAGTTTGCTGAGAATGATGGTTTCCAGGTTCATCCATGTCCCTACAAAGGACACGAACTCATCGTTTTTGATGGCTGCATAGTATTCCATGGTGTATATGTGCCACCTTTTCCCTGTCCAGTCTATCATCAATGGGCATTTGGGTTGGTTCCAGGTCTTTGCTATTGTAAACAGTGCTGCAGTGAACATTTGTGTGCATGTGTCCTTATAGTAAAACGATTTATAATCCTTTGGATATAAAGCCAGTAATGGGATTGCTGGGTCAAATGGAATTTCTATTTTTAGGTCCTTAAGGAATCGCCACACTGTCTTCCACAATGGTTGAACTAATTTACACTCCCACCAGCAGTGTAAAAGTGTTCCTATTTCTCCACATCCTCTCCAGCATCTGTTGTCTCCAGACTTTTTAATGAGCGCTATTTGAACTGGCATGAGATGGTATCTCAATGTAGTTTTGATTTGCATTTCTCTAATGACCAGTGATGATTGAGCATTTTTTCATCTGTTTGTTGGCCTCCTGTATGTCTTCTTTTGCAAAGTGTCTGTTCATATCCTTTGCCCACTTTTGTTTTTTTTTTTTTTTTTGAGACGGAGTTTCACTCTTGTTAACCCAGGCTGGAGTGCAATGGCGCGATCTCGGCTCACCGCAACCTCCGCCTCCTGGGTTCAGGCAATTCTCCTGCCTCAGCCTCCTGAATCCTTTGCCCACTTTTGAATGGGCTTGTTTGTTTTTTTCTTGTAGATCTGTTTTAGTTCTTTGTAAATTCTGAATATCAGCTCCTTGTCAGATGGGTAGACTGCAAAAATTTTTTCCCATTCTGTTGGTTGCCGATTCACTCTAATGACTGTTTCTTTTGCTGTGCAGAAGCTGTGGAGTTTGATTAGGTCCCGTTTGTCTATTTTGGCTTTTGTTGCCAATGCTTTTGGTGTTTTGGTCATGAAGTCCTTGCCTACGCCTATGTCCTGAATGGTTTTACCTAGATTTTCTTCTAGGGTTTTTATGGTGTTAGGTCTTATGTTCAAGTCTTTAATCCATCTGGAGTTAATTTTAGTGTAAGGTGTCAGGAAGGGGTCCAGTTTCTGCTTTCTGCACATGGCTAGCCAGTTTTCCCAACACCATTTATTAAACAGGGAATCCTTTCCCCATTGCTTGTTTTTGTGAGGTCTGTCAAAGATCAGATGGTTATAGATACATTGTGTTTCCTCTGAGGCCTCTATTCTGTTCCATTGGTCTATATATCTGTTTTGGTACCAGTGCCATGCTGTTTTGATTACTGTAGCCTTGTAGTATAGTTTGAAGTTCGGTAGTGTGATGCCTCCTGCTTTGTTCTTTTTGCTCAGAATTGACTTGGCTATGCGGGCTCTCTTTTGGTTCCATATGAAGTTTAAGGTGTTTTTTTCCAGTTCTGTGAAGAAGGTCATTGGTAGCTTGATGGGGTAGTGTTGAATCTGTAAATTACTTTGGGCAGTATGGCCATTTTCATGATACTGATTCTTCCTAGCCATGAACATGGAATGTTTCTCCATCTGTTTGTGTCCTCTCTTACTTCGTTGAGCAGTGGTTTGTAGTTCTCCTTGAAGAGGTCCTTTACGTTCCTTGTTAGTTGTATTCCTAGGTATTTTATTTATTCTCTTTGTAGCAATTGTGAATGGCAGTTCGTTCTTGAATTGGCTCTCTTTAAGTCTGTTATTTGTGTATAGGAATGCTTGTGATTTTTTTTTTTTTTTCTCTCTAAACCGTTTATTTCTCCCCACCAGAAGGTGGAGGCGGGCGGGCCTAGAATACAGGGTGAGGCGGGTTCCTGGGTCGGGCCACTGCAGACAGCGGGGAGAGGCTGAGCGCGACTCTTAGCCAAGGTGGAGTTGTTCCAGCCCACGTTTGCCGCGTTCATGTCTTAATAGTTGATGTAGACCCTGTCCGGGCTGTTGCGCAGGCGTTCGGCCAGCAGGCCACACAGCAACTTGCTGTAGGAGTGGTTCTGCATGCCGCCAGTCTTGCAGATGCTGTGCAGGCTGCAGAGCGCGCAGGGCTCGTTGGAGCCACCGAAGGCCCTGAGCTGGTCCGGGACCACGTGCACCACGATGTACTGGGGCGGCTTGCCGGTGGCCTGCGCCAGCTGTTGGGTGAGCTTGGAGAGGAACCCATCCGGCACAGAGGCCCGGGTCATGTTGGTGTTTACGATGAACATCGGCATGATGGCAGAGGGACCAGGAGATCCACGCAGAGACACAGAGGCACACGCCGCTGCCGCTAAGCTACGTTCCTGAATTCTCGGATACTGTCCTGCCTTTCCTGTGACTTTTGCACGTTGATTTTGTATCCTGAGACTTTGCTAAAGTTGCTTATCAGTTTCAGGAGATTTTGGGCTGAGATGATGGGGTCTTCTAGATAGACAATCATGTCGTCTGCAAATAGAGACAATTTGATTTCCTCCTTTCCTATTTGAATACCCTTTATTTCTTTTTCTTGCCTGATTGCTCTGGCTGACCTTGACGTTTTTAAAGAGTACTGGCCAATTACTTTGTAGAATTTCCCTCAGTTTGGGTTTGTTTGATGTTTTCTCATGGTTTGTGATTTATGCAGAAGTGGTCCTGTGTTTTTAGGAATTCATATCATGAGACACAGAATACCAGTTTGTCCCATAACTTGTGATGTTCTTTTTTTTTTGACACAGTCTCGCTCTGTTGCCCATGCTGGAGTGCAGCAGTGGCACCAACTCCACTCACTGCAACCTCCGCCTCCCAGGCTCAAGTGATTCTCCTGCCTCAGTCTCCTGAGTAGCTGGGATTACAGGTGCCCTCCACCATGCCTGTCTGATTTTTGTGGGTTTTTTAAAGTAGAGATGGGGTTTTGCCATGTTGGCCAGGCTGATCTTGAACTTCTGACCTCAGGTGATCCACCCACCTTGGCCTCCCAAAGTGCTGGGATTACAGGCGTGAGTCACTGTGCCTGGCCTGTGATGTTCATTTTTATTACTTGGCGTAGATGTTGTCTCTAGTGGGTAACTCTGTTTATAAATAAATGTTGACAGAAACCTTGAAACTTTATCAATATCCTTTTTCTCATCTTTCACTTATTTCCCACGCATCAACATCCTTGTCCAAATCGTTTATTAAGATGATTGACAAATGATTTTCCTTTATTTTTTTTTTTTTTTGAGAGAGTTTTGCTCTGTCGCCCAGGCTGGTGTGCAGTGACACAATCCTTGCCTCCCAGGTTCAAGTGATTCTCCTGCCTCAGCCTCCTGAGTTGCTGTTTTGTCACCACACCCAGCTAAGTTTTAAATATTTTTAGTAGAGATGGGGTTTTGCTGTGTTGACCAGGCTGGTTTCAAACTCCTGACCTCAAGTGATCCATCCACCTCAACCTCCCAAAGTGCTGGGATTACAGGCATGAGCCACCACGACTGGCCAAATGGTGATTTTTCTAACTCCATTGTTTCTTCTACATTTGTCAGTTAGCATTCTACTTTAAGAAAAGCTTTCACTTCTCCCCCACATATCTAAGTCAGCATGGACTCATGGATTTTTATATTTTATTCAGTAGGTTATAGGCATCACTGTCTCTTTTATTTTTACTTTACTTTGGAGTAAGTGTACACCTACAGGAAAATTCCACAAATAGGACAGATTTCTCATATTCCCTTCACCCAGCTTTCCTGATGATAACATCTTACGTAGCTGCAGCAGAGCTGTCAGAACTGGCAATTTAACATTGGTACCATACTGTTTAATCATTTGCGCACTGTATTTGAATTTTGCCAGTTTTTTTCATTAGTGTCTGTTTTCCCTTCCAGGATTCATCATTATTATTTTAGTGCTCAAATTGTTTCTGACTCGGCCAGTGGGAACCTCTTCAAGATGGCTCTTTATCCTTTTTACATGCTGCTATCATTTTTTTTTTTTTTTTTGAGGCACAGGGTCCCTCTGTGACCCAGGCTGATGTGCAATGGCATGATCTCCACTCATTGCAACCTCCGCCCTTGGGGTTCAAGTGATGCCTCAGCCTCCTGAGTAGCTGGGATTACAGGCACCTGCCATCATGCCTGGCTAATTTTTGTATTTTCTAGTAGGGACAGAGTTTCACCATGTTGGCCAGGCTGGTCTCAAACTCCTGACCTCAGGTGATCCGCCTGCCTTGGCCTCCCAAAGTGTTGGGCTTACTGGCATGAGCCACTGTGTCCGGCTGCCACCATCATTTTCTGAGCACCTCCTTTCTTTATGCCACGACAAACTATACTAGGCTTATTCTGTGTGTTCGTATCCCAGCTCTGGAGTCATCCATTTTCCCAGGGATTTCTTGTTCCTTTGGTGGAGAATGATATTTAGAAATCTAGTATGTACATTGCTGCTCGGGGTCATTGCTTCCAGGTCCCATTGGTGCGAGAGCTGAGAAATATATGTGTGTTTAAACATACGTGTATACACACATTCATCTCTATCTGTGTGCATACCTGGTATTTTTCTTTTTTTTTGAGACAGAGTCTCGCTGTCGCCAGGCACTAGGCTGGAGTGCAGTGGCGCAATCTCGGCTCACTGCAACCTCCGCCTCCCGGGTTCAAGCAATTCTCCTGCTTCAGCCTCCCAAGTAAGTAGCTGGGACTACAGGTGCGTGCCACCACATCCAGCTAATTTTTGTATTTTTTAGTAGAGACGGGGTTTCACCATGTTGGCCAGGATGGTCACGATCTCTTGACCTTGTGATCCGCCCACCTCGGCCTCCCAAAGTGCTGGGATTACAGGCGTGAGCCACCGCGCCTGGCCACCTGTTTCTATATTAGAACCTGTGCATTTTATGCTGATACCTCCAAATCTAATCTAACACCACAGGGTTTATTTTAGCCTCTGCCTTTCAATGTTGGTAACTACCTTCTACACCAGTGAGAAGCATACTCGGTATATTCACTTCCTTGTTCAATTTGCCTGTGTGTAACTACCTCCCAGCTGTGCTCAGGTCACACCTTGGCTCCCCAGCTCCACTGGCCACACCACAGCCACATCCTCAGCCCAACAGAAGGGAAGAGGAAGGGGTGCAAAGTAGTGTGAGTACCCTTGAATTAACAAGTTCTAGGGCTGGGCGTGGTTGCTCGTGCCTGTAATCCCAGCACTTTGGGAGGCTGAGGCAGGTGGATGGTTTAAGCTCAGGAGTTTGAGACCAGCCTGGGTGACGTGACAAAACCCTGTCTCTACGAAAGAAAAGCCCACAAAAATTAGCCAGGTGTGGTGGCGTGCACTGTAGTCTCAGCTACTCAGAAGGCTGAGGTGGGAGGATCGCTGGAGCCTGGGAGGCAAAAGTTGCAGTAAGCTGTGGTTGTGGCACTGCACTCCAGCCTGGGTGACCCTGCTTCCAAAACAAAACAGAAGTGATCTCACTTTCTGGGGATCTTCAGCTGCTTTGGCCTTGCTCACCTGCCTTGCCCTTTTCTGACTACGGTCTTTCTCTCCTTGTGCGTCACTCTACATTCCAGTTAGAATATCGTTTCTGTGAATGCCGACTGCAGGTCCACCAGAGAAACTGCCTTGGTCATCCAGGGATAAACCTGGTCTGCAATGGTGTGTTTTTTCTTCTCAGTTTAGTTTTTCCCTCTACTGAAAACTCTCTGCAGCAGTCGTCTTCATTGCCAGGGCATATAATTTATCAGTAGAACTCCCAGCAGTATTTAGGGAAAGATATATTTCTTTCCTTCCTTCTTTCCTTCCTTGTTCTCTCCCTCCCTCCATCCTTCCCTCCCTCTTCCTCCCTTCCTTCCTCCCTCCTCCTCTCTCTCCTTTCCCTTCCTTCCCCCTTCCTTCCCTTCCTTCCTTCTCTCCCTCCCTCCCTTCCTTTCCTCCCTTCCTTCCTTCTTTCCCTCCCTCCCTTCCTTTCCTCCCTTCCTTCCCTTCTTTCCCTCCCTCCCTTCCTTCCTTCCCTTCTTTCCCTCCCTCCCTTCCTTCCTTCCCTTCTTTCCCTCCCTCCCTTCCCTCCCTTCTTTCCCTCCCTCCCTTCCCTCTCTCCCTTCCTTTCCTCCCTTCCTTCCCTTCTTTCTCTCCCTCCCTCCCTTCCCTCCCTTTTTATCCTCCTTCCCTTCCCCTCCCTTTTCTCTCTTCCTTCCCTCCCTTCCTTCCCTTCCTTCCTTCTCTTCTTTCCTTCCTTCCCTTCCTTCCTTACCTCCCAACAGTGTCTGGCTTTGTTGTCCAGGCTGCAGTGCAGTAGTGACATTGCAGCCCACTGTAACCTCAAACTCCTGGGCTCAAGTGATCCTCCTGCCACAGCCTCCCAAGTAGCTGGGACTACAAACACATACACCATGCCTAACTGATTCTTTTCCTTTTTTTAAGAGCTAGGGATCTCACTTGTTGCCCACACTAGTCTCAAACCCCTGGCCTCCTCCTAGCCAGGCATGGTGATGCATGCCTATCATCCCAGCTGCTTGGGAGGCTGAAGCAGGAGAATTGCTTGAGCCTGGGAGGTTGAGGCTGCAGTCAGCCATGATCATGCTACTACGCTTTGTCCTGGGTAATAAAGCAATATCTTGTCTCAAAAAAACAAAAAAATGTGATCAGATTGGATCACCTATTCAAAACTAATGAGCCATACTCATTCCCATTTGGATAACTTATATTCTTCTCTTGTGTGAAATACTGACTACTGATTTTCTGATGTCTCACATGGCCTCAAAGCATGCTGATGCAGAAAGATGGAAGGAAGGGGAGGCTTTCCCCAACTTATTTCTCATCTCCTCCAAAGAACAATGTCAAAAGTAACCAAGTAGACATTCTGTAGACGTTCTACAGAGTATAGATCTTTAGTTTTTTAGAGTGAAATTTTCTTTATGCTGTGTAGTCATAACTAATTTATAATCTTACTCATTGGGTTGGCTCTGAAATAGGAAACAGGTAAGTAAGTGTCTGTCTTCCAGGGGAACAGGTGAGTGATGAAAGTAAAAGCACATCAGATGTGGGAGGCCAGGTGTGGGGGCTCACGGCTGTCATCCCAGCACTTTCGGAGGCCGTAGGAGGGTGGATCACGAGGTCAGGAGTTCAACACCAGCCTGGCCAATATGGTGAAACCCCGCCTCTACTAAAAAAATTTATAAAATTAAGTCAGGCGTGGTGGCACATGCCTGTATTCCCAGCTACTCAGGAAGCTGAGGCAGGAGAATCGCTTGAACCTGGAAGGTGGAGGTTGCAGTGAGCCGAGATCGCACCATTGCACTCCAGCCTGGGCGACAGAGTGAGACTCTGTCTCAAAAACAAACAATAAAGCACGTCGGAGCGTTCGTCCCTGATTTGGTTGGCGCCATCGGTTTAGAGATTAGAATCTCTCATAAGAAGACCTAGGGGACTCTTGTCTTCAGTTCCATGCTCTCCTCCAGTGTACCAATCTCCATCCCCTAGGAACAGAGTGTGGAGGTTGATGAGCTAAGTCTGTATCGAGCACCAGCATGAAGATTCGCTCCACACATCAGCATGTGGGGGCCAGGGCAGCAGCATGCACGAGCATGCAGGTCATCCCTCCTCTCAGGGAAGGCACAACACAGGGGATTCTGCCTCCTTCACCTTTTGTGCCAACTTCAGTTTGTAGAGGTGACTGGCTGGAGTGCCGTCTCAAGAAGAATGTGGAATCACAAGAAAGATCAGTGGAAAGGGGCTCCTTGTTGACTAGCAGTGCCTGTGTGGCCCACGATGGGAGAAGATAGGTTATTTCTTGAATATGTGGCATCCTTACACTGTAGAGTGGTAAATAAAGTGTCGGTGGGTGATGGGTAATAGAAGTTGCAGCTGGTGTGAGTGAGACCTGGACTGAGGTTGAAGGGGGAGTAGGGTGGCGGGAGAGTGTGTTGGCTCAGCCGTCACGTACGCACAGGCCCGGTGATCCGAGTGGGTGAGCAAGGGAGCCATTGCGAGGAACAGAGAGGTGGGAGATTCAGTGAAAAGGTGGGGCAAGAGAGGTTGTGAGGAATGAGGGTGGCGGCCGTGAAGCTTTCCAAGGTCAGCTGATGAGATCCTTCCTGCCCTCTGACTGTCACCACAGACCTAGCCTAGCCTGAAGTTCCTTGAGGGCAGAGTGGATGCACACACCTGGATATCATCAACTTTCAGTACCAAAAGCACTTGAGTAAAATGTCAGTTTTCTCCTATTCCTGCTAATTAATGGTATATGTGGTTCTTGTCTTTTTCTTTCTGACTATTTTATAAACACATTTTAAAACACAACTGGATTAATATAGCCTTAAACAGCAACCTAAAAAGATGCAACATGTCGGGAAAGGTGGGAACCCCTTCCATTCTTCACACAACACAGCTGTGCAGCCAGCAGTTACTGTAGCTCTGCTGTATTCTCACTAGTGATGGCACAATATGCCAGACAATTACAGGGACATTTCAATGGGCAGTGGGAGAAAAATCGCAACTCTCTTCCCCATGTGGCCGGAGGCAAGTCTGGAGCTGCTCATGCCCTCTTTTTTTTTTTTTTTTTTCCAGAAAGAGTCTTGCTCTGTCGCCCAGGCTGGAGTGCGGTGGTGTGATCTCGGCTCAGTGCAACCTCTGTCTCTTGGGTTCAAGTGATTCTCCTGCTTCAGCCTTTCAAGTAGCTGGTGCCTGCCACCATACCCAGCTAATTTTTTTATTTTTAGTAGAGTTGGGGTTTTGCCGTGTTGGTCAGTCTAGTCTTGAACTCCTGGCCTCAAGTGATCCACCTGCCTTGGCCTCCCAGAGTGTTGGGATTACAGGTGTGAGCTACCGTGCTCTGCCTATATCCTTTGTTTTCCTAAGATTTTTTTTACACTTTTGATTCTGGAAGTTCTAAGAAAAAACTATATTGAAGGAGAAGGAAACCATTAGTATATATTTTACAGTTTCTCTTTGTTTAGGCATCTCTCTCTTGGACACATTTAGGTTCATCATGTCTAAATATCTGCTGACATCATAATTTTTTTGTGTTTTAGGAAGTAGAGTGCGTAGAGGCATGGAGCTTGGAGCCAGGCTGCTTAGTTTTGAATCCTGGCTCTCCTGTTTTCTTGCTCTATTAATGTGAACAAGGTACTCTGCCTTTCTGTACTCAGCTCTTTGAAAATGAGGATAGTAATAATACATGCTATGTAAGTTTATTGTAAAAGTAACTGAGCTGGGCATGGTGGCTCACACCTGTAATCCAAGCACTTTGGAAGGCCAAGACCTCAACTCACTTGAGGTCAGGAGTTTGAGACCAGCCTGGCCAAACATGACAAAACCCCATCTCTACTAAAAATAAAAAAATTAGCTGGGCATTGTGGCGTGTACCTATAGTCCCAGCTACTTGGGGGGCTAAGGCAAGAGAATCGCTTGAACCCTGGAGGCAGAGGTTGCAGTGAGCTGAGATCGCATACTGCTGCACTCCATCCTGGGCCGACAGAGCAAGACACTGTCTCAAAACAGAGAAAAAAAATGAAGTGAAATGAAGCTTATAAAGCATGGACGTGATACCTGGTGCATCCTAAGTGTTGAGAAGATGATCACTGTCACTATTGAGGGTTTTGTTTGTGGAAAGGGGAAACAATACTGTCGTGGTGGTAGGGTCTGTATTCTCACTTGAGTATTGGGGTCCAGGCTCAGCTCTGCACTAGATTCTAGGCCTTAATTTTCTCATCTTTTAGAGGGACCAGTAATGCCCAGTCTTACTTAGATCAAATGTGAAAATGAAATGCCTTGAGAAGTGCAAAGCCACACGCAGATGCTACATTGTATTACTGCTGTTCTTGTAGGAGTGGCGGTGGTAGTGAATGATGATATTCATTACAATTGATCAGTTTTAATTTTAAAAGCAGCAGGAATGATTACTTGTGGCGGTAGTTTATGTACATTACCAACAAGCACATTTGCTTTTTCTTGAAGTAAAATAACATTTTAGTTTTTTTCCCTCCTAGGAACCTCGGAGAGCTGATAGATCGGTTTGTGGCTGATTTCAAAGCCCAGGGGCCTCCTAAGCCCAACACTGATGAAGGGGGTGCTGTGCTCCCCAGCTGTGCTGACCTCTTTGTCTACTACAAGAAGTGCATGGTGCAGTGCTCCCAGCTCAGCACTGGGGAACCAATGATCGCCCTGACCACCATTTTCCAGAAGTACCTCCGAGAATATGCCTGGAAAATCCTCTCTGGCAACCTGCCCAAGTGAGTCCTGTTCATCATAGTCTGAGTGGTGAAGTGAGATGCAAATATATGTAAATATGGGAATCTTTAAGGAAATCCACTCCGACGTTGTTTACTGAACCACTGAGAGTGTCAAGGAAGAAAGCAGTCTTACTGAGTTCCTGAGGGTTTGAAGCAATTTCCTCTCTGACATTCCACAGCTGATGAAGATCGCGAGAGGGAATGTCCACATTGGCTGCTCATGTGGGCCAATCTTGCCCCGGTGGACGAAGGGGAACCAGTCCCATTGTACATGTATTTAATTTCCGTGGATTCAACTATAGATACTTGGTACACACAGAAAAAATGAGGTTGTGGTGCAAATAACTATTAAAAAGCCTAAGTGGTTTCACTGAAGCCTTCTTCAGTGAGATTATGCCTTGGAGTGAGGGTGGGGGCAATGAACCTGATCTTTTCTCGTTTTGAGTAGGCTCCAGGTCCCTCCTGTGGTACGCACTTCTTGCCATGCTGGGCAGAGTCTAGTGTTTCAAGATAGGGTAGGATTGTGGGGCAGCTGGTGCGTAGCTTCTGGTTATGGTAACTGTTGTGTCATCCTGGGGCTTAGAATAATTGTCGTATTGCTTACTATTGAAATAAGTGGATCATTCAACTAGGATTTTAGAGATGTTTTGATTATATGGTAGGTTTCACTGTCATAGAATATGACCTAAATTGAGGCTTCTGAATTTAGTATTTGCAAATCACCCCCATGGCTAAATTTAACAATTCTGGAATTAGTTTCTGTCATGATCACTAAAATGTGTCACATATGGGAGTTTCATGTTACTTGGAAGAAAGAGAATAAAATCCCGTGCTCTACAGGAGATGTGAAGTGACAGGTATGTTTTACTGGTGAGAACTTCTTTGACTATGACAAAAATCATTTAAAAATTTTAATAGCTTTTGTTCTGATTATCAAGATAATGCAAGTTCATCATAGCTCACAAAACATAGAAAAGCATGAAGAAAAAAACAAAAATTGGCCAGGTAATCCCAGCATTTTGGGAGGCTTGAGGCAGGAGGATCACTTGACATCAGGAGTTTGAGACAAGTCTGGTCAACATGATGAAACCTTGTTTCCACTAAAAATGCAAAAATCAGCTGGGCCGTGGTGGCGCATGCCTCTAAACCCAGCTACTCAGAAGGCTGAGGCAGGAGAATCGCTTGAACCCGGGAGGTAGAGGTTGTAGCCAGCCGAGATCGCACCACTGCCCTCCAGCCTGGGCATCGCAGGGAGACTTGTCTAAAGAAAAAGGCCAGGCGCGGTGGCTTAGGCCTGTAATCCCAGCACTTTGGGAGGCTGAGGCAGGTGGATCACGAGGTCAAGAGATTGAGACCATCCTGGTCAACATGGTAAAACCCCATCTCTACTAAAAATACAAAAATTAGCCGGGCATGGTGGCGCGTGCCTGTAATCCCAGCTACTCAGGAGGCTGAGGCAGGAGAATTGCCTGAACCTAGGAGGCGGAGGTTGCGGTGAGCCGAGATTGCGCCATTGCACTCCAGCCTGGGCAACAAGAGCGAAACTCCTTCTCAAAAAAAAAAAGAAAAAAAAATTATATATAATCTCACTACCCAGAGAAGACTTAACTTTCTGGTATATGTTTTTCCATTCCTGATAGATACGTAATGTGTGTGGTCTGCTGCTCTTGTTTGCTTGTTTGGCACAATTGGGCTGTGCTGCTCGTAGCTTTGTTCCCTGCTGCTACCGTTTTTAACATCATCCTGGGAACATTTCCCACGTCTCAACAGGAAGAAAATGGCATACGCAGCCGGGATTTTGTCAGTACAGAGACTGTTCACAGAAGTGGGGGCAAGGTGAAAGGAACCCACAGAGGATTCCGTAGCATCCAGATATGAGTGGGTAGTTGTTACTACCATAGAACTCACTGAGGAGCCGGGGCTGCCCCAAAAACCCGTAGTCACAGAAGGATGTGAGATGGGTTTTGGCCTCTTTAGACATTAGGGCCTTGGGCAGGAAGCACATCTTTTAATTTACTTATGTACTCCTCCACAAGCACACATAAGTTCCAGTGCAGACTTTTCTTAACTGAAAGAGTCAAGGTGGGCAACCAGCTTTTGTGCTCCAGATGGCCCTGAGTCAGTTCTGCATATCAGGAGGTTCCAAGCTAAAGAGAGGGGCAGCTGAGCAGCCCTCCCTTTCAATATTAGACCATCTTAGTTAATATGACTGACAACTGGCTGATGGTTAACTAAGGTCAACTAAAATAGGAATCATCTCTTCCTCTTTCTGACGGTGAGAGAGTCTAAACAGATGATAGTCAAGGTAAGGTCAGTAGGAAAAGAACTCATTGTATGTGGATTGATTTGGGCTGTGTCCAGCCTTTACTTCCCCCTTTTCTTTGTCTTAAAATATGCAGTTTCCAGTTCAGGAAACAAATTAGAAATTCCGGGCTGACTAGTTCCTGTTCCTTTTGCTCAGAACCACAACCAGCAGCGGAGGGCTGACCATCAGCAGCCTCCTCAAGGAAAAGGAGGGCTCAGAAGTGGCCAAGTTCACTGTGGAGGAGCTCTGCCTCATATGCAGCATCCTGAGCACAGCAGAGTATTGTCTGGCCACCACTCAGCAGGTGAGCTGTCCTGGCTGCCCACTCACCCCTCCTTTCCCTGAACTCTCTGGGCTGAGGAGCTCAGTGAATAAGAAGATAAGCCCTGACAAGGCCACAGACAACCATGGGTCAGACCAGTTGGCCTGCCACAGAGAAAAGTTCACTGTCCAGCCGTGCCTGCCCAGGCAGCCGCCTTGCAGAAGGGCCTTGTGAAAAGGAGACTGGGCAAAAAAATATGGCTGGTCTACTCCCTGCAGTTGTGTGAGCTGCTCAAAGGGCATGACCTGTTAAAAGTAGGTCAGTAGCACCGTCTCCCTATGAGAAAAGCAGTAACAGACTTGTCTGTAGGAGGACCCAGCCTTTGGTAAGGATGAGTCACAGCCAGTTGTTCAATGCCCAGAAGTGTTACTAACCTAAGCAGAAGCCTTTGGGCTTTTATGTGTCTTCTGAAATTTACATAGCATTTTCAGTCTGCCTAAACAAACAACCATTGTTTGAGATGCTGACGTTCGGGAACTGGGAGGCAGGAAAGAGTGATGCCTCTCCTGCAGCCCCAAATGGCAGTAGTTCAGCAAACCAGTTTAGTAGAAGGAAGACCCAGAAGAACTTTTTATTCAGCCTTAACCATGGGATTAGAAATTCCTTTTCACATTTAGTCTGGGATTCCCCTAAGGCCAAGAGAAAGAAAATAACTTGGAAACGTTCTGTTCTTCTCCCCGCTTTGTGTTTATTATTTACTGATGTCTAGATCACAGGAAGACAGTCGTACATGGTAGTTCAGACAGTACAGTGGGGAGTTCCTTGGAGCCAGAGCAAAAATACTGCAGGTCAAACAGGAAGTGTGTCCACAAAGTCTCCTGAGTTGTGCATCAGCCAGTCAGAGGCAGGGGTAGCTGCACCCTCTGCCTGGGGCTCTGGTCATGTTGAGTTGCGCAGGTGATTACCTGCCAGGGTTTGGCCTTGGAGCCTGAGAACAATCTGTTGAGCCCTGAGCCACTTCCAGGGTGAGATGGCACTGTCTGTAAGGACCTCCAAGGCAGGGTTCCAGAGTTCTTTCATGATACATACTATTTAATTATTATGTGTGTATGCAGAAAGAAATACATACATGTAAATACGCAGTTTTGAAGGTAAAAATAATCATAGTATAAATAAAAATGATCACTCATAATCCCATCATCCTCAAATAATCATATTAGCAATTTGGGGTATTTTTTCAATCGGTTTTCTTAGACATAGTTTTGTACCTTATAATCTTAATTCATTGTTATATCCTTTTATTGTTAGTGTTGTACATAGCATGAGCATTTCTCCCATCATTACTGTTGTTAGAGTGACATCAGTAATCAGTATAACTACCATTATAGTGTCCTCATGACCATCATTGTTTATGCTGCCTCAGATTTCACTTTTATAGATAATCCTGGCCAGGCACAATGGCTCACGCCTGTAATCCTAGCATTGTGAGAGGCCAGGGCTGAAGGTTTGCTTGGAGCCAAGAGTCCAAGACCAGCCTGGGCAACAGACCGAGACCTGGTCTTTACAAAAAGTTTAAAAATTAGTTGAGTGTGGTGGCAGGTGCCTGTAGGTCTCAGCTACTTGAGAAGGTGAGGTGGGAGGATTGCTTGAACCTGGGAGGTCAAAGCTGCAGTGAGTCATGATCACACCACTGCACTCCAGCCTGGGTGACAGAGCGAGACCCTGTCTCTAATTTAAAAAACCGATAATCCTTACAGAGAGTGAGCCATGATCATACCACTGCACTCCAGCCTGGGTGACAGAGTGAGACCCTGTCTGTAATGGAAAAAAAACAATAATTCTTACAAAGAGTGAGCCATGATCACACCACTGTACTCCAGCCTGGGTGACAGAGTGAGACCCTGTCTCTAATTACAAAAAAAAGATAATCCTTACAGAGAGTGAGCCATGATCATACAACTGCACTCCAGCCTGGTGACAGAGTGAGACCCTGTCTCTAATTGAAAAAAAAAAGATAATCCTTACAAAGAATGTCCTTCTGAATATAGCATCTTAAATGTTTTGCATTAATTTGCTAGAACAGACTCTTAGAAGTTCTAGAAATAAGTTGAAGACCATTTTGATGACTGATGATACAAGTAGCCAATTTTTTATTTAGTGAAAATTGTTTTTATTGATTACAAATATAATACAATCTTAGCATCTATTTTGTGATCTCTAAATACAATTTTCCACTAAAAGAAACCAGAGATTCCTGGAGAGACGACTACTTCCAGGTCAAGGGCAGGAAAGGTACAAGATGAACCTAGAACATCATGTTATACAAAAAGCAAGAAGAATATCAGACTATTATAGTGTCATCTCACAAGGACCCAGGGAGATACAGTGGGCTGAAATGTCCCCCTGACCCCAAAGTGTGTCCAAGTCTTAGGCCTTGGGACCTGTAAATGTGGCCTTGTCTTTGTGAATGTAATTAAGTATCTCAAGATAAGATCGTCCTGGATTAAGGGTTGTGGGGGGCTTATCCAGACTGTTGTCCTTAGGAGCGAGAGATTTAACACACAGAGACACAGGGAAGGAGGCCATGTGAAGCAGGCAGAGGCTGGAGTCGTGCTTCTACAAGCCAAGGAACATCAAGGATTGCCAGCAAACACCCGAAGCTAGAAGAGAGGTTTGGAACAGTTTCTTCCTCGGAACCTCCAGAAGAGGCAGGGCACAGTGGCTCACGCCTATCATCCCAGCTCTTTGGGAGGCCAAGGGGGAGTGGATCACTTGAGATCAGGAGTTTGAGACCAGCCTGGCCAACATGGCGAAATCCTGTCTCTACTAAAAGAATACAAAAATTAACTGAGTTTGGTGGTGCACACCTTTAGTCCCAGCTACTCAGGAGGCTGAGGCAGGAGAAGCACTTGAGCTGGAGGTGGAAGTTGCAGTGAGTCGAGATGGCGCCATTGCACTCCAGCCTGGGCAACAAAGTGAGATACTGTCTCTTAAAACAACAAACCAGCTAACCCTACCAAAACCTTGATGTTGGACTTCTGGCCTCCAGAATTGTGAGAGAATGTGTCGGTTCTTTTTAGCCACCAAGTTTGTGATGATTTGTTACAGCAGCCCTGGGAAGCTAATGTAGGAGCCAACTTCAGTGTGCTGCATTGGCCAAAAATGGTACAAACAGGCTGGGCAGGGAGCTCAGCCTGTAATCCCAGCACTGTGGGGGTCGAGGAGGGCAGATCATGAGGTCAGGAGTTTGAGTGAAACCAGCCTGGCCAATATGGTGAAACCTGTCTCTACTAAAAATACAAAGTGTAGCTGAGGTGGGAGAATCACTTAACCCAAAAGGTGGAGGTTGCAATGAGCCAAGATTGCACAAGTCAACTCCAGCCTGGGTGACAGAGAGAGACTTGGTCTCAAAAAAAAAAAAGATGGCACACATAAACATTAGTGTATATCAGTGAGAGTGTTAGCTACAGTGTAGGGAAAACACTAGTGTATAGAAAACACCAATGTGTATCAGTGAGAGTGTTAGCCACAGTGTATTGAAAACAGCAGTGTGTATCAGTGAGAGTGTTAGCCACAGTGTATTGAAAACACCAGTGTGTATCAGTGAGAGTGTTAGCCACAGTGTATTGAAAACACCAGTGTGTATCAGTGAGAGTGTTAACTACAGTGTATTGAAAACACCAGTGTGTATCAGTGAGTGTTAGCCACAGTGTATTGAAAACACCAGTGTGTATCAGTGAGAGTGTTAGCTACAGTGTATTGAAAACACCAGTATCAGTGAGCGTGTTAGCTACAGTGTATGGAAAACACCAGTGTGTATCAGTGAGAGTGTTAGCTACAGTGTGTTGAAAATACCAGTGTGTATCAGTGAGAGTGTTAGCTACAGTGTATTGAAAACACCAGTGTGTATCAGTGAGAGTGTTAGCTACAGTGTATTGGAAACACCAGTATCAGTGAGCGTGTTAGCTACAGTGTATTGAAAACACCAGTGTGTATCAGTGAGAGTGTTAGCTACAGTGTATTGAAAACACCAGTATCAGTGAGCGTGTTAGCTACAGTGTATGGAAAACACCAGTGTGTATCAGTGAGAGTGTTAGCTACAGTGTGTTGAAAATACCAGTGTGTATCAGTGAGAGTGTTAGCTACAGTGTATTGAAAACACCAGTGTGTATCAGTGAGAGTGTTAGCTACAGTGTATTGGAAACACCAGTATCAGTGAGCGTGTTAGCTACAGTGTATTGAAAACACCAGTGTGTATCAGTGAGAGTGTTAGCTACAGTGTATGGAAAACACCAGTGTGTATCAGTGAGAGTGTTAGCTACAGTGTGTTGAAAATACCAGTGTGTATCAGTGAGAGTGTTAGCTACAGTGTATGGAAAACACCAGTGTGTATCAGTGAGAGTGTTAGCTACCGTGTATGGAAAACACCAGTGTGTATCAGTGAGAGTGTTAGCTACCGTGTATGGAAAGCATCAGTGTGTATCAGTGAGAGTGTTAGCTACAGTGTATTGAAAAATATCAGTTTATATTAATGCAAATGTTAGCTACAGTGTATGGAAAACACCAAATATGTTTAGATCCATTTGGTTGTAATGATTTTTCGTAATTCACTTACCGCCTTTGAAAATGCTAAGGAATCACTGGTAGGAGTTGAATACTGGTGAATAAAAACCCTTTAGCTTGCCTTTCCTATGTGACATGTCCCTCAGGAGAAAAATCATCAACAATGGGAAGTATCTCTTTATAGCAGAAGTTTAGCTAATAAATGAAGAAGAAAAGACAGAATTACAATTTTTTTTTTTTTTTTTGAGATGGAGTTTTGCTCTGTCACCCAGGCTGGAGTGCAGTGGCATGATCTTGGCTCACTGGAGCCTCCACCTCCAGGTTCAAGTGATTCTCCTGCCTCAGCCTCTTGAGTAGCTGGGATTATAGGTGCCCACCACCATGCCCAGATTTTTTTTTTTTTTTTTTTTTTTTTAGATGGAGGATTGCTCTGTCGCCCAGGCTGGAGTGCAGTGGCATGATCTCAGCTCACTGCAACC